CCTCTGTTTCCACTGGTCCTGTCCAACATTTTGCTCCTTCTGGCAAGAGATCACTTTGACAGTTGTGAACTACCTTGTGTTGATCCCTTTTAGGCTTGTGTGTGTTTCTGCAGAAATCTGTGTGCCAGAGTGGGCGGGTGTACTGTGCAAAACTGAATTTCTGTGTGTCTGGCAGAAAGTTGTGTGCTCTTTTCTTATGTAAGCGGGTCTTGGCTGGGTAAAGCAAGGGTTTTAGCTTGGGGGATGCTGGCTCAGGTGGAGAGACGGAGACAGATGCTATTTTGGGAATACTGCACTCTTTCCATCTTCCAAACGCATGAGTTATTCACTCACATGCGGTTTCTAGATTCTGAAGGGATAAAAAGACAATAGAAAAGAAGAGTGTGATCTGCTGTGCTTTATAATCTGCCGTGTCTGACAGGTGTACTAAAATTGGAAAAGCAGAAGACATTTGTATTTCTTTACTCTGCATATGTTCTCTTATGCATCTGTGACATCATTAGCTAATAAATGTGTCAATATTACTTGATGAGCTGTTATTTTTCTGTTTCTCTTTTAAGCAATAAGTTGATTTATTTGTCTCTTTTGAACCTGCACAGTCTTTGCCAACTGTCTTGATTTGTTTCTCTCTCTGCATTATTTTCCTTTCTGTCTGTCCCAGAGCATGGCACTGGCCTGTCTTCAGTCTCACCTGTCCTGCACCGTCCTGAGCCTCTTCAAAAACCACCATACCCCTGTCAGACACTGCTGAACAAGACTGTGGAGACCATGCTGTCTGGAACTTGGCGTCAATCTGTCGGGCAACCATCTGCGGTTCACATGGTGAACCCCAGTGGGGTGACAGTTTGCGGGGTTCCCAGTGGTACCATTGTTCTTGAGGCTCAGTATGACTACAGCTACCGGGGAGCAGATGGGCGGCAAGTTTGCATAAGAGAGGGCGAACGATTTGTTCTTCTGAAGAAGACGAATGCAGACTGGTGGCAGGTGAGAACATGTTTCACCTTTTGTTCCTCTGGTGTAACATGGATTTAGATTTTTACACCAAAGAATAAAGTTTGTGATGTGATGTACCAGTGTTTTCAATGTCTGCAAATGCCATAACAGGCCAGAAATGATATAAAATTTTTGATTTTTAAAGGTGTTTTTGTCAATCACCTTACATTTGTTTGTTTTTGGCTCATAATGAGCCTTTGAGGTGTGACTAAACATGACAGTAAACCTTATGGCACAGAGAAGTTCCTGTTTGGGTGTTATCCCCTCCACACTGCACCTAGAATTTAATATATATTCTCTGCAGGGCTGCACGGTGGATGAGTTGGTAGAACTGTTGCCTTTCAGTGAGCAGGTTGCTGGGTAAAATCCTGCCAGGGGTCTTAGAGTTTGCGTGTTCTCTCCGTGCATGCGTGGGTTTTCTCTGGGTACTCCAGTTTCTTCCCACAGGCCAAAAACATGCATGTCAGGCTGATTGGTGACTCTAAATTGTCCCTAGGTGTGAGTGAAACAGTGAATGTTTGTTTGTCTCGTTTGTCTCTTTGTGTCCCTGTGATGGACTTGCAACTTGTCCAGAGTGTCCCCCATCTCTTGCACAGTGATGGCTGGACATGGGCACCAGTGACTCCCATGACCCAAAATGGAAGAAGCAGGTAAAGATGATGGATGTCTCTGTGTTGATTAGCTATGATATGTAATTCTTCACGATGCTCTGTGGTTCCCTCAGGTGTTCATCTGCACATTAGCAACTAAAGCCCTTTCTCCACGGGCGTGGCTTTACTCGGCTTGCATTGATTCAGCATCGGCCAAATGTGCCTCCATTACCTGTTCCTCTTGGGTTTTGGAACCGCCCCAGCCATGATTCCAATCTAGCCGAGCCGAGCAAGCGATTTTGACGTCGGCAAACTGCAGCCATTGATTGACGTCACTTTATTAGCCAAGGCAGGACTTGTAAACACCTCCTAAAGAGCCATTTTCAATCCAATCATTGAGTGTGTACGTTGCTGCAATTCACAGGTTGTTCTGTGGTTGAGTGATGAGCTGCAAATCTTTTTGTCACTTTTGTCAGATGAGCAAATGCAGCGTGAGCTCGACGGAGCAATGAGGAGCGAGCGGGTTTACCAGGAGGTGTCAGGGAAACTGGCCACTCACGGCAGCACTCGCACTTACAGTCACATGACAAATTAAAAAAAAAAAAAGAAGTCAGACTATCGAACAATAAAAGATCACAATGGGCAAAGTGGGTCAACCCGGAGGGACTGGAGGTGTTTTGCTGCCCGCGGATGGAGACACCTCTACATTTGAATATAACCAAATAGAAACTAAGCAATTAGAGAGGTACTTAACAATGGAGAAGCAGCTTAAATGGTCCCTTAGGAACAACAACAACAACAAAAGCTGTAACACTTTGTATTTAGTCATAATAGAATAGAATAGAATAGAATAGAATAGAATAGAATAGAATAGAATAGAATAGAATAGAATAGAATAGAAACAGCCTTTATTGTCCCATGGATGGAAAATTCAAGTGTAACAGCAGTAACAGATAAAAAAGATTCACACAAAAAGTTCCTAAAATGCCAAAAAAAAAAACAATATATAAAGAAATAAGTTAAACAATATCAATAAAAATGTTCAATATGTATTGGAACATTGAAAATGGCAAACATACTTTAGTTATGATCGCCTCCATCAGGTCATTACTATAATTTCAAGATATTTTTAGTGCTTAGTTATTTTATGGAATTTGTTTTCCAGCAAACAAAAAACATCAACAGGCGTGTCCTTTTACCTCAACCAGAGTGAATTTTACTGCCAGTCTCTGTTCAGACTGTCATCATTTCTGTGTCCATGATGAATGAGCTGCCAAATTAAGACAAGTTTCTTCTGTTTTAAAGAATCTTTTAAAGACTCATCTGTCTGTAAACACTTCCTTCCCTAACACCTCAAACACAAAAACATGCTCAACTTTAACTTAATCATTCTGTCTACTTAGGTTTTTAGACAGACTTATACCATTTATATTTTTTCTACACTGACACCATGAATTCTTCTCATTCTGAAATTGCTTAGGATGGGATGGAAAGGTTTGGGCAAAAGTCTTGAAGTTGACAATCTGAAATATTTGTTAATCAAGTAAACACATTTAGAAATTGCCACATATATAATTATAAATTTGTATTGTCTCTATATAATAGATATGTTTTCCTTAACGATTGAGTCTGGTTAAGGAACACAAAGGCCTCAAAAATGCACTGCTGAACAATATTTTGCAGGACTGGAAAGCGTAAAAAGAAAACCTGTAAAAAAATTTTTTTATCAAATATGGCAGAGGCATCTGAGAATCGTGGGATAGATTTTCCTAACTATAAAATCCCAGTGCATTTCGGCCTCGACACAAACACATAGCACAACACAGAAAAGCTGGCTTCTCAGATCAAGAGTCAGCAGTCCACTTACATCTCTAAGATTAGGGCACTCCTGTGAGAGAGTAGCAAGCATCATTTAGGACAAAGGAGCCAAATTATGTGAGAAAGAAGTGGTAGAAACACTTTACATAAAACCAAAGAAGCTTAGAATAATCAGAGGAAGTGTCCCAAAGACCCGTCTATCCAGTGCATGCAATACAGCCTTGACTTTACTCCCCAGACAGTTTCAAAACCATTTACACCTTGAAACATCCATCCATCCATCCATCCATCCATTATCTTTACCCGTTTATTCCATTTTGAGTCACGGGGGTCGCTGGTGCCCATGTCCAGCAATCACTGTGCGAGGGGCGGGGTACACCCTGGACGGGTCGCAAGTCCATCACAGGGACACATAGAGACAAACGAGACAAACAACCATTCACTCTCTCACTCACACCTAGGGAGAATTTTAGAGTTATCAATCAGCCTAACATGCATGTTTTTGGTCTGTGGGAGGAAACCGGAGCACCCGGAGAAAACCCACGCATGCACGGAGAGAACATGCAAACTCCACCCAGAAAGGCCCCTGGACCGGGGTTTGAACCAAGAACCTTCTCGCTGAGAGGCAGCAGCTCTACCAGTTGCGCCACCGTGCTGCCTATACCTTGAAACATGTGACAGAAAATATTTTCTTGTTGGCCTTGTTGGTAAACACATCCCAAGTGACGAGAACCAAAATGACTAACAGTATACCGGTAGATGGCGGGTCAGTCACTCGAGTGGCTCCAGCAACCCATTTTAATCCGAACTGAAGAAGCCCTTCAGATGAGAAGTAAAAATATCTCCATGAGACAAAAAAGTTAAGTTACCTTTAATGCACTACTGTACTCCAATGGGCTGCAACTGTTGATGACTAGATGGTGAATGGCATTTGTGAGGGAGTCTCTGAAATGTCTTGCACCGTCCGCAGGAGTTCTCAGGATCCTTGCTCGAGCTGCAGAGGCTTGTCACTTGAATTTTGAACATGTTCAAATGTATGTGACAATTTTTTTCGCAAAAATGTCAGAAACACTGTGGGTGTCTAAAACACATTTTAAACCCTTCTTGATTTTGTTGTGAGTATTCCCAAACCACTGCTAGAGCTGTATTTTGACATCTACAGAGGAGTGCACATAGATAGAAGTCATCATTTTCAAAGGTTGGTCACTTAAAACATGGCTTAAAACATGGCTTGCTGCTCTCTAAATAGAACTAGTTTATTAAAAAAATCATCAAAAGCACTCAGAGATCTGTTCTTTGACAGGTACGGAGGATTGGAGCATCCAGTAAAACAAAGCCATTGTATGTCCCAGCCACATATGTGACAGAAGTACCCATCACACCGATGCCGTCGCCCCAGCGCCTGGTTTCATCGATCTCGCTGAACTCCAACTTCAGGGTACTATCCCGGGTCTCTCTGTCTCCCAGCCTCACAGGAACTGCCAATAATGAACACCACCAAGGTAATGTAATGAACACGAAGAGCCAAGAAAACTGGTGGGATGTTGTTTTATAAGTGGAGAAGCAACTTCGAAACAAGTGCAAACCCGAGTATTTTCCCTTCCCACAGTGAACAAAGCCATCTACCACTCCATGGAAAACCTCAACTCCAACAGTGCCTTCCAAAGTTCTGACAAGAAAACCAGCATGAGCGTAAATCGTTTCCCCACCCTCCCCCTCTCCGGATTCACCTTTACTTCGAATTCTTCCACCTCCCAGTCAAACCACCTCACAGTCCCTGGGTCCCCCTCAGCCTCCTTGGTCCAAACAGCATCGTCAAATCCCCGAGTGGTCCCTACGATTACCCGGAGCCAGAGCTCCAGCAACCTGCCTGAAAACATCACGGAGAACCCTTATGATGAGGTGGGGGGTGGCCTTGGAAGCCACATCAACTACAAGATCCCCAAGAAGTCTTGTAGCCAGTGGGACATGGTGGGGGCTTCGGGCAAGAACAACCATCTGCAGGTAAGGGAAGTAAAGATCTGATGAGAAAATCTCATAAATAGTGACAAAAGATCTAATTATACTGGATAAATAACAGAGCCACAAAAGAAGTCTGGAGGGGGTACCAAGATTTAATTTGTAACTTGTAAAAATGTTAATTATATCCGTTTTACATGTCAATCTGTAATCTAATGAAACACTAGGAGTAATTGTCTGTGTGAGGGTCCATGTATCTTATTTAGCTGAAAGAGAAGCAGAATAAACATGAGTCTGTTGTTTTTATGTGTTTTGTGCCTTTTAGCCCTTAAAAAATAATCACTTCTTTTTGCAGATGAAACAAACATTCAGACTTTCCTGTGATTCAGTAGTTCTGATTCTCAAATTTTGGTTAAAGACGAATCATTTTCCAAATTTAAAACACATTTACATGAGAAAGGAATGCAATGAAGTGTATCAATAATTGTATCATATACTGGTAAGACTGCTCATTTTAAACTGCAGCTGTTCCTAAAGCGTAAAATCAATGTGCAGAATAGACTGCGACGACAACAAATGCTACCAAAGAAACATAATTCTGACCCTAAAAAGGACAATAAAAGTAATTGTGAGGGCTTGCACATTGGTTCAATTCGATAAAATACAGAAACTTTCACATTCGCTCACATTTCTGACAAACTACAGTAAAAAAATAACAACTAACTGCAGAAATACCAAATATGCACTGTTTTTATATGAAAAAAGTACCACCAAATAACCTATTTAACAGTTCAACTTGATTATAGGAAGTGACATTTTTTACAAATAAATTTTTCATTACTTCAAGAAATTCTTTGTAAGCAGATATATTTATTTATCAATAATCCATCTTAAAAACATGTAAACGTTACAAAGAACAGTAATTTTAGCATGTAAATTTTTACTAGATGGTCAGTTTCATTTTTATTTATGGTTAAAGGAACTCTAATCCTTTATTCCATAGCCGGCATCAAAACGGTGACGTTAGATTGCAGAAACTGGGTCATACAAATCCGTCACATGCAGTTTGACGCTGAAGGAAAATGTGGGATTAGATTAGTTTTGACTTCCTGTCACTGACAATCTCTAATCTGCAGGATTAACACGTCATAACTCCAAAACTGTAATAACCCAGTGTGTGGATTTTACCAACAATACATGTAATAGTAATCCTAAAAAAACCAAGATAAATTAAAAAAAAAAAAAAAAAAACATAATGAAGCTGTAATTCCTGCTAATACTGAGGTTATCTGAAGAAGCTGGTTGGAACTTCAGATTTTTTGTGAAATAATTTTTGTTGTCAATATTGTGTAAATGAATATGACAGTTTTGATGTAAACAGAATACCAGTAATTCATTCCCATAAACATAAATAGAACATAAATCTGGTGTGTTTGGGTTTAATTCTGCACAATGACTGAGCTCAGAGCTGGAGAAGGAAGGGGAATTTGATTTACACTTGCAGTTGTCCTTATTAATCCTCCTACAGCAACAATCAAGTTAGCATGGTCGTGACGCCAGATCTTCCTTACATTACATCAGAAGGGATTACATAAGGCCTTACTGGGAGAAATACTGAAGGTTATCCTTCTGTCGACTGAGGGGAACTCCCACCACTAAGTATCCAAACTGACTCTCCAAATAGACTTTAGTTTCCACATAACTGTGTGCATTTTATGTGATTTCCGTGGAAGTGACAGTTCTACTTTTTATCATTCGTCATCCTTTTTTCTCTTGTGCTTTTTGTCTTGGTTCTGAGAACTGTCTTTATTTTTATACCAGTAAGCTGGAATTTTGGATCTAAATTAGTATCGCCCTGCTTTTCGAACAGAAAACTCTCTGAGCACATGTCCAGTAGCTGCAAGAAGATTCTACGAGTGCTCTGGTGATGAGTGACTTTAAGAAAATACCATCTATTGAATATAAGGAAATGAAAGTGATTGATCTGCAGTTTTTATAAACAAGATCGACCTTTTGTTTGTTTTATTGTTATTACTGCATCTTACGGCGCCTTAACCTAAGAATGTGTGTTGCTCATCTCATGCCAAACTTCAAATATCTGACCTCTCTGAGGAATTTGATTTCGGACAAAAATGGTCGTTTCGCTGTGACATTTGCCTTAAAAGTTGTGCATAATGTTGACATGAGGGCTCAGTGCACAAAATGTGTGGTCTTAAACACAAACCATTTCCTCACAGAAACTGAGGATTTTCAATCAAAACTTGCATGAATCACAAACTGGGTTTTTAAAAGTCAGCCACAGTTGCCTTCTTTGGCAGAACTGTATTTCTTTTCTTTCTTTTTTTTTACCACAGCAACAAAATGTCAGGTATAACCTTTTAGATTAGATCAGTGATTAAGTTCAATCTGCTGTGGCATTTCATATGTTCATGGAAAATACCCTTCCTCTAGTTTAACTAATTCTTCATAATGAGCCCTCGAACAAACGAATGGATGCTCACTCATAGTTTAAATAAAACCGATAACATAAAACCTGAAGACAAGATAATTATTGCTGGTGGTCGTTTATGAATATGTGTTGCTGTGGATGTGCCGTTATCATTATTTTCATATCGATGATAATAAACTATTGATTGATTGTTTGATTGAGGTATACTTAGAAATAATCCTGAAGTCTAGTAGAGTTGGAAAAATGTTGAAAATCCTCAATCTTTATTTGTTTTATGTTTTAAACATTAACGAAAAGTGCAAAATCAAAATGCCATTGAGAGCTGATGAAAAAAATTACAACTAAGAGCAACAAAGTGTGTTTTGTAGCTGTAAGCGACATTATCAGCTGTGTGTCTGTAAAAATGTATGGCTTCATACCTGATTTATAATAGATGAACAGTTGTGATCGGGCCGGTCAGACAAAGCTCAAAGGAAAATCATAGTATGAAATAGTAAAGTACTATTTATTTTGTATTTCAAAATACAGAATGCTGTATGCACTTTACAAAATGTTCTGATTTGTTAGGTAAAATCCCAAAAATGGGTTTTAAAATGGCACAAAAACAAATTTCAGTGCTTCGTTTCAATCGGTCCATTTTTGAACCAATTGATGAAGAACCAGATTTTGATGCAAATGCTGCAGGAAGCAGAAGGAAACTGTTGATCAGGAATCATCAGGTGACTCAAAAATTCAGCACTGCCATCTGGAGTAAACATCTGTCACATCATTCTTTTTATTTGAGCAGCTTTACCTGCTAATCACCTGCCAATATAAAGACTGCTGGTTCAAAACCCCCAGCCACACTTTATGGTGAAGTGTCCTTAGGCAACACTACAGCCCTCACAGGCTAATCTATAATTGATTGTAGAGAAGAAAACAATTCTATACATAACTAGAGAAAATACATTTCCTGCATAAATGCAATGTGAGTGCTTATTGCTGAAAAACTTCCTGAAAACAGCTGAAATTAGCTAAAAACATGGTGAAATGTAGCTGAAACGCAAGAACAAGCCTAAACTAGCAAAAGAAAGCAAAAAGAACACATAGTTGCTGAATTTGGTTTAAATAAGCAGAAATGAACACAAAATTAGTACATTTGCTAAAAGAGCTTAAATTAGCAACAACAACAAAAAACGCTGAGCAGTAGTTGAAAAGGCAGAAAGAAGCTTAAATTACCAAAAGAAAGTGGAGAGAGCAAAATTGTGCTTAATTAGGCTGAAATAAGCATAAATGAGAATGAAAAGGTGGAAAATATCTGAAAAAAGCCTAAATTAGCATAAACAGCTGAAAAGTACCTAAAAAGGCAGAAAGAAGCTTAACTTACCTGAAGGAAGTGGAGAGAGCACAGCTATGCTTAATTAGGCTGAAAGATGCAGAAATGAGCACAAAAAAGTGGAAATTATCTGGAAAAAATCAGAAATTAGCACACAAAAAAAAAGCAGCTAGCGTAATATAAAGTTAGGCACATTATGAGTGTCTGTGGGTGATCAGGTGAATTTAGTTAAACCTACATTTGGTAGAAAGGCTCCATATAGCAGTTATATCTTAATGGCTGTGTTATGCAACAGAGATCAAGCAACAAGGCGTTCATTGTTCGGACGTATAGATCTTCTTTTGGAGCTGTGCGAGCTTCAGATATCTCTGTCTGGATGAGTGTGTGTTTCTGTAAGCTCAGCTGTGTCTTAATCTAAAATCTGCTGGGTTCTTGTATAATAGGAGACTGTGGGGCTTGTTCATGCTTCTTCATGGTCTGTGATGACTTTATCTCTCTGCTTCACATACGGCGACTTCCTTTGTTCAAATGACTGCGATTTGCATTTTGTTTTTGATCTGCTCAGTTATCTTTGTACGATGTTTGAGACAGAACAAAGTAGTGCTCAGACATTTTTATTAATTTGATAAGATTACATTTTGTTTCTCTAAACTCACTTTAGAGTGAGTTTTCACTCCTTTGAATTGAGAAAGCTCCTCGGATGAGGAGCGAAACGTCTTCTGTTACAAATAAAGTCCAGTTGTTTTTGTATTGAACGCTTTTTGAATCTAAACTCACTTCTGCCTTTCCGCCCCTTTTCCTACTTCTGTTTCTAACTTTTCTCTCGGTCCTTCTCACAAGGTCCCGGCAGAAGCCTATTTGTCCCAGCTGTCATGGCAAGACTCCCCCATTTACACCGAAATGCATCTGGAGAAGCGTCAGTCCCAGCCGGAGCCACCAAGCCCAGCTCCAGGGCAGCATCCTCTTCAGATCTTGGATCTGTGGGAGCAGTACTCTGATTCTGCCACTGGTAGATGCTATTACGTCAACAGCATCACCAAAGAGAGGTCATGGAAGCCCCCTCGACGGGGTCGCGCTCAAAGCAGCAACAGGATAAATCATTCAGCACAGCAGGTACTAATTCGCTGCTTCTTCTGAACCCATGTGCACCTCTCCTGCCACTGAAACGGATAAATAAATTGAGAGCTGGTTGGTGGATAGTGAGCTGGATGACAGCATCCTCTCTCAGATGAGAGGTCAGGGTCAGGGCGCAGAATAAAAAACGAGGCTCACTGAGACAGAGACTGAGGATTTCGGGACATAGAGCTCAGGGCTGCTCTAATTTATGAGGCAGACTCCAAAAAATGTTTGAACAGTAGAAACTCTGTACATTCCTACTTTAGCATTAGTTTAAGGACTTTTTGAAGCGTTTTAAGTTAATAACAAAGCAGTAAAATGCATTGACGTGTCTGTGATCTCAACATTTTAGCCAAATTTATCTGAATATTAAAAAAGGCATGAAACATTTTAGGTTCTGTCTGTTAAAGGTTTGTCTGCTTCATATATAGCTGTTAACAAAACAACCAGCAGCTGTTTAGCTTTTTACAGTATAAATAACACTTAGTATGTATAGTAAGTCTTTTTCAAATATGAGATTTTAAAATCCCTTCATATCAAAGTTTTAATGATTACAGTGAGCACACAGAGTGAAGTTACACGTTTGTGTACATTTATTTTAGGAAAAAATTTTAACAAGTTTGCTGACACTAATATGCTGACCTTTATGTGTCTAAAACTTGGATCCGTTTTTGTCGGTTACTTCCTTCATGACAATGATTCATGCAAACTATGAAGATGGTGGAGTGTTAGTTGTTTTTTTTTTTTTTCAAATTTATGAAACACTATGAGAAGTTAATAACCTTACTCTGTAAGGAGAGAACAGAAACCACCACTGATGAGGATATAACAGGTTTTTTTTGTAAATTCCACTCTGATAATAGGAGAAAATGGTATTTTAACCAGAAAGTCTCTTCTTTTTTTTCATTCATTCAACCTTTATTTATACAGGTTAATCCTGGGAAATTTCAGAATCTAATTGCTACATGAAAATGTTTGACTTTTTAATAATGATAGCTCGTGATTTTTGAAAACCTTTAATGTTTTTTTTTCTATGTATGTGTTCTGTGCAGGCCGGTTCAGTACATAGTCAGACATTACCCCGGGACACCAGCCATCTATCCCTGCCTCTGGCTGGAAACACTCAAATGGTAATTTGCCACATTAAAGAGTCATTTTTAACTTTACTGATCCGGTTGTATGCAGTTTCAGTTTTAAATTAGCCTGAATAATTATAAAAGCAACATTCCTGGAAAAAGGTATTTTTGGAGTTAAGTGAAAAGGTGGGATGAAGTGAGTGATTGCAATTGTTCTAATAAAAGGTGATAAACAAGAAAAAAATCTCAACAATTGAATATTTAATAACAACAAGATTAATAATAATTGTATTCTTCCGAAGTGCCATCTGGGTTTTTCATTTTTAACCTATTTGCTGCAAGTCTAACAAGGTTGAGTCAGGTTCTCTGGAAGAGTTCTTCTTTCGGAAAACGTTTTGCCTTTTACTCAAAAGGCTTCTTCAGACTGAGGAGCTGCCACAAACTCAGTCTTATAACAATGCACTTAATGGCAGATAACACCTGGATGACAGTCACACGCCAAGGAGACAGAGAAGTTGGTGAAGAATCTCTCCGACAGACGGCCCACCCAGTCTTTGGCCGGGTGGGCCGACTGAACTTTGTGGTTACGCCTAGAATTCCTTGAAAGAATTCCTTAGTTGGCAGCTCAGAACACCACATACAGAACACCATGGACTTTGTGGATAAGGTGAGGGATGTCACCATGGAGACTGATGAAACTATGGTCTCGTTGAGTGTCACATCACTCTTTACGTGCATTAATGATGCAGTAGATGTGGTCAGTTTAAGGTTAAAATCAGACACCACTCTGAGCAGCAGGACCACGCTTTCCACAAAACAACTGTGTCAACTCTTGAAACTGTGCCTGCAGTCAACCTACTTCACATATGGGGAGCAATATTATAGGCAGAAACATGGGTGTGCTATGGGGTTTCCAGTTTCTCCTATTGTGGCCAACCTGTACATGGAGGAGGTAGAAAAGAGAGCCTTGACATCCTTTTCAGGGACATCAACAAGTCATTGGTTCAGGTATGTTGATGACACCTGGGTTAAAATTAAATCTCAGGAAATCCAACATTTCACTGACCACATCAACTCTGTGGATAAATATATGAAGTTCACACGAGAAGCTGTAAAAGATAGAAAGCTGGCTTTTATGGACAGTGAGGTCTCTTCTATTCTATTTGGAAACTGAGGTGTACCGCAACCCCACCCACACAGACCAGTATTTTCAATTTGACTCCCATCACCCTTTGAAGCACAAGTTAGGAGTCATCAGGACTCTGTACCACAGAGCAGACAGTGTCCCCACCAGCTCAGGAGCCAGGCAGAAGGAGAAATCCCACACAAGACAGGCTCTAGAGCAATGTGGATATCCTAACTGGGCCTTCCTGAAAGCAGAGAAGAAACCCAAACAGGACTCCAGTCAGCCATCAGGTGAAAAGACCCAGACCCAGACCAGTGGTCATTCCATATGCTGTGGGAGTTTCAGAGAAATTGAGATGTTTATTTTCTAAACATAACATCCCAGTGGCTTTTAAACCCCGAAATACATGACAAAGACTGGTTCTCCCAAAGATCCAGTCCCCCGGCACAAACAGAGTAATATTGTGTATGCTGTTCAGTGTCAGGAGGGCTGTGATCAGTCTTACATCGGGGAAACTAAACAGCCATTGGCCAAAAGGATGGCCCAGCACAGAAGATCAACATCATCAGGCCAGGACTCTGCGGTCTACACTCATCTCCAGGCCAGCGGTCACTCTTTCAGGGATGTAGATGTTCACATCCTTGATAGAGAGGAATGTTGGTTTGAGAGAGGAGTAAAGGAGGCCATCTTTGTGAAGAGAACCCGTTCATCATTGAACAGGGGCAGAGACTTCTGTGTCCAATTCTCCTCGTACAATGTTGTTATTGCAAGTATCACTCAGCCCTCTGTGAATAGCAAGCAGCCATCAGGGCACTAACGACTGGTCGTTAGGCTGATGGTCCTCCTTTTGCGTGTGAACAACTAGTTTTGGCTGTTACCGGCAAACTGGTTGATCCACTAGTTCAAGTTCCAGAATCTTTATTATCCCCGAGGGTGATTTGTTTCACAGTGAGTCGGCACACAAAACATCCATGCTAGACAAGACATTAAGACATTAAAATAACAGTACAATATGAGAAGGTGCTGCATACAAGACTATTTGCTCCTCAGACTGAAGAAGACATTTTGATGAAAGACAAAACGTTTCAAAAACGAATAACTTATCCAGAGAACCTGAGCCGACCTTGTTAGATTTATCTACCTGGATTATTGAGCATTTGTTGCATTTATTTTACTAAATACAGCTGTGCTTTTACAGCTGTAAACAGAGATGACACAAAGCACAGGGCAACAAATTCACACACTTACCCTGTCCAGCTCACTCATGTGTATGCCTCTTGATAGTTTCTGTGCTTTAAGGAGACAAGAAATGCTGCGTTTCTAGATTAAAACGGGAGATTAGAGCCTTTCGGATCATTTTCTGACTTCATCACTGCCCTCTGACACTCGCTTCCTATCCTCTCTCATGATGATTTTTGTGAGGCTCATCTCTGGACATGACATGCTTCTGCTGAGCTGATAGCGATGAGCAGAAACTATCAGGGCCACAAACACAGAAACAGCATGTTTTACATCAGCAACATTACAAAACCAAACTGCAGTTAACCATTCAGTAAAATTTTCCATCAATTTGAAACTGTTCATGAGGTTTCTATTTTCCCTTGTGGTAGAAAAAAAATCTGATATTGTGTCATCAAGATTACTTTTTAATAAGTTAAATTTTACAAGCATGTTTTCTACCCTTTTAAATATGGATTATGTTGTTTTAAATGTTTGAAGAGTGCAGCCTGTGACTGAAATTGATCCATTCACCAAATCAGCGATGGCATCTGCGAAGTAAATCAACACAAGCTGCATGATCCAGATTGCTCCAGATAAGCATTTTACGTCTGAAAGCTGCATTGCCTCAGCCTTGCATCACTGTTTCAAATTTAATGTTGTTCATCAAAAAAAGTACCCGTCTGATCAAAGCAGTGATTCCATCCCATCACATCAGCTTGAGATGCGTTCTGTTGACCTATATGTGTCACTTTTGATTCTGCGGTACATGATGCATAATGCAAACTACATACCTCACTGCTTTATAGACCAGGTGTTAGAATGCACGTAGCCCATTTTAAATTAAATTAGATTTTATTAAATTACTGCTACATGTCCTAATCAGCTCCCACAAACAATACAGTTAATTTGAACGACTATACTCCTCATTTCTGTTATTGTGTAAGCATAGGTGAAACAGAATGTCAAACTATATAAAACTTTAGGTGCCAGTACTTTATTTGTTTTATACAAATTCAAAAGGAAGTAGAGGGGAGCTGTTTAATGCTTACATTGAGGGTTTTAGCTTTCAGATCATCTTTAGCAATAAAATCACACCTTAAGCTGTTGATCAGAAGGAAAGGTGAAGTCATGCAAATGTTTTTAAATTTTCTGTATCAGTTGGTAGAGCTGTTGCCTCTCAGCAAGCAGGTTGCCAGATCAAATCCCAGCCTGTGGCCCTTCTGGGTGGAATTTGCATGTTTTCACCGTGCATGCGTGGGTTTTCTCCAGTTACTCCAGTTTCCTCCCACATACAAAAAACATGCATGTTAGACTGGTAACTCTAAATTGTCCCTAGGTGTGAGTGAGAGAGTGAATGGTTGTCTCGTTTGTCTCTATGTTTCCCTGTGATGGACTTGTGACCTGTCCAGGGTGTCCCCCGCCTCTCTCACAGTGACTGCTGGATATGGGCACCAGTGAACCCCGCGACCCGAAAAGAAAGAAGCGGGTAAAGATAATGGATGGATGTGTCCTTAAATCTTGTTATGCATGTAAGGAGCCATGTGCTCTGCAGAGAAAATTATCGATGTTCATAAAGCAGTGAGGAGCCACAAACAGCAAAGTGCTTTCAGGTTGCTGTGCGCTCTAAAGCAGTGGTCTGCGACCTTTACAGTTAAAACAGCCAGACAGTTTTTACCATCTTCCCTATTGAACAACTTTAATTAGAACCACAAAATCTATCTGATGAGTAAAAGTAAACCAATTCATAAAATTTAATTTAGCCATATATATTAATACAAATATGTACCGTACTTGCTGCCGTACTCATTGCACTATTGTATCAGTCGCATCAGTCCAAAAATGTCTAATAAAGTTGAAAAAACATAAATACATCACTTCGCCGTTTGAGTTGCATCTATTATGCGTCACCTCTGACCACCCAGAAACGTGGGCCGGTGTTGTGCCAAAAATCGATTGGCTGCCAAATGGCAGCTGCGGGAGCGTGCACGAGAGAACTTTAACAAGAATTTAATAAGATTAACACTTAAAAACAATTATATGTTTCCCCAACATTATACTAAAGCTGTGTCTCAGTTTAACTTTTTCTTAATAAATTCACTTGAATGGTCAAATCAGCTGCATTTCACCTGAACAGCATGGCAAGATGAAGCTGATTTGACATTTGCTCCAGGAGTTCCGGAGCGAGATGTAGGTGACCTGTATGGCAAGTCAAGTGTCTCCTTAATAGCCACTTTTACCTATTAATGAGACACTTGGCTTGCCTTATTACTCGACCGCCCTCTAGTGGCTGAAAATAGTAGTGTTCAATATTTTCCATGTCAGAATGAATAAAATTGTCAGATCTCAGCCAAAAATCAGGTTATAAATATGGGAAAACAACATAAATAAGTTGCTTCACTGTATAAGTCACAGGGCATGCTAATTTATGCAAAAAGATGTGACTTCTACAGCAAAAATATGGTTCTACATTTTTTTTGGAATAATAATAATATTAATAATAATAATAAGTGTGTACAGTATATGAAAAAGAACATGCTGTTCTGTACAAGAAAATTACACTTTCTGTTATAGAAACATCTACGCCTGATTCAATTTTTCTCATGTTTGTAGAAAATGATGCAAATAAATGGCTCACTCTGCAATAAATAAAGCATTGAATTGCACTCTGTCTTCCTAAAAGGAGTAAAAATAAAAACAGACCTGTTTATTAGTTATTTAGGACTTAAAATATTCAAATTGAAGACCATAAACTCCACTGACTTAAACTTCCACCAGGTTTTTGTTAGAAGCAAGTCGTTATTTCTATTCCTGACTTAGCTGTAAGAATTACTTACTGTTTTAAAACACCAGATTTTAATGCTTTTAAATTTATTAATTTCCAGTAGATGCGCAAAACCATTTTTAAGCTTTTCAGCAATTTGCCTTTAGTTTGTTGTAAAATGGTGGATTTAGACATCAGTTGCACTCAGAAAACAGTAAATTTGATCAGTTTTTAAACACGTTTTAGTGAAAATGTATTCCTTATTTATCTAATTCTAGTACAGATATGATGTTAAGCTGTGTACACAGAACATTTACAGTATTCAACACACATTAAAAAGGGTTATCTAAATTGCTACAACTATACTTTCTTGCAGTCACTGTAATCTAAAACAATAACTCCGGTTCATGACGTGTTGGTTGTATTACAAGGAGCCGCTTCAGGAGGAGCTAAAGAGCCTGATGCTCTAAAGAAACAGATCCTGTAATTAACAGGAACCAAGTTTAGGCCTAGAGGACAAAGTTTATACATGGTTTTAAATGGTTTACAAGGTTTAAAATATTATGTTTTTCCAGTTTTTATGAGAATGTTCATAAGATTTTGGCTGATTTTGATTCAACTTGGTAGAGAAGTGAAATAAGGAGTTAATTACTGAATAAGAACAATCCAACACTCATACAATATTATTGTGATTTAAATAATTTTATTTGTACAATTAAAGGTTGAAGTTTGAATTGGACCTGATCAGTTTCTCTTTCACTGGCAAATGATCTAAATGTGTCTTCTTGAATATGGGATCCACAATATTTTACTTTTGTCACTGTATTGTGTTGTTATTTGCATGTTCATTATGTGAGCATGTCAATTTTTCTTTGAAGTTTCCATTAATATTAAAACAAAACTCTTAGTTTCCAGTGACCAGTCTCACTTCAGACTGACTGTAGAACACCTCCAGATGTTGCTCACCAAATGTCACCAAGATCTGATGGAGAATTTCAAAATAAAGGCCCTCCAAAGTTGGAAATTTTACATTGAATTTTCCCTAAGTTGCTGTGTTTATTGCTCGTTCTTCAGAATGTTGTAGAAACAGCGAGGGTACGCACAGCTTTACCAGAAATCACATCATTAGTGTGCAGAACATTTGTTGTCTCATTGAAATGCAACATAGTACAAGTAAAAACAGGAATGTTTAATTTTAAATAATACATGTATATGTTTAATATTTTAAAGTGGAAATATCATTTTGGAAAAATAAGAGTTAAGATTGTACATTATTTCAGAAATTACATTTATAGTATTTTACCATCCAGTGTTTCTTTGTACAGGTGACTTGAGAATTACAAGAGCTTTGTTAAGGGCAACTGTGGCTGAGTGGTTAGAGCAGTCGTCCTCCAATGCGAGAGCTGGGGGTTTGATTCCACCAGCAGTCACATGCTGAAGTGTCCCTGGGCAAGACAGCGAACTCCTCATTGCCTCTAATGTGTGCCCCATTGGTGTATTTTTATTTTTATTAGACCTTTATTTAACCAGATTTTAAAAAAAAACATTGAGATCAAGACCTCTTTCAAAAGAGTGACCTGGCCAAGAACAGGCAGTGAGTGGCACACGTCATAAAAACAAAACAAGTAACAAGATTAGACTTCAGAAATATATAAAACGTACAATATAACAGTAAAGGGCAATAATTGTAATAAATAATAATTTCAAACAATGTCAATTTAAGATCTAAAACACAGGTACTATTGACAAGATATCCTTTATCGGGTTTTTTAAAGTTTGCAAAGAGCACTCAAAGTAAGTTCTGACAGTTTTAATTCAGTTTGCAAGGCATTCCAAGCTGATGGGGCAGAAAAGCTAAATGCTTTCTTGCCCTTTTCTGTTCGCACAAGAAGAACATGAAGATTCAAACAGTCCTTAGAGCATAAGGCATAACTACTGTCCATTCTTCAAATAAAAGTACATAAATAATGCGGAAGCTGGTCAATAAGAGATTTATACACCAAAGTCATCCAATGCACATGTTGCCTGTTATACAGGGAATACTGGTTTTAAGATGGAGATCACAGTGATGAGTAAGATAGCTACAGCCAGTAATAAATCTTAATGCACAAGATACACTGGATTCAAGGACGGTAGATAGTTGTTTGAAGCACACATATAGACAACATCTCCATAGGCAAGTACTGGCAAAAAAGTAGCTGTGATCAAAAACTTCCAAGCTCTAAGAGAGAAACACGATTTGTTTCTGAAGGAGAACCCGAGCTTCACCCTTAATTTGGAGGTTAGATGTTTCACATGGGATTTAAAAGAAAGCTCCTTGTCGATAATTAAGTCCAGACCCTCTCGAGCGCTTTACCTTGGGCAGTTTTTATTTAGAGGGATATTCTCCAATGGGACAGACAAATTTGAAAAAAAAAAAAAAAAAAAAAAGCATTTTATTTTGGATTTATCAGCATTTAAAACCAAGTTTAGTTGCTCAAGACAAATCTGCACCTCATAAAAAGCAGCCTGTGATAATTTAAGTGTCTGACAATTAAATATGAATTCAAAAAGCATTCAATACAAAAACAACTGGACTTTATTTGTAACAGAAGACGTTTCGCTCCTCATCCGAGGAGCTTTCTCAATTCAATGAGCAGCGAGTGAGAGATTCAGGTTATAAGGCTGAGTGAGATAAGACACACACACACACACATACGTAGATTTGACAAGTCACACCTCCACACCTTAACAGTAGGGGGCTTCTTAAGTCTTTGTTACTCTAATTCACTGATGAGACCCCTCTGTTCCCATCAGGTGTGAAAACTGGCTGGGAATCAGACTTAAAGTTGCATTATAGGTTTTTGAAAGTGGAAATCTGAGGCCTCCTCCTCTGTTAAGAGACGGCTTTTCTCTTTTCACATAAATTGCTTCCTTCCCCCCCCCCCCCACCCCCCAACCATCTGTGTTCTCGGTCCAAAATGTGCATATTTTGGTCCTCAAAAGAGTGTCCCTTATCTGTGAGATGGAGGTGAACAGCTGAATCTTGTCCAGAGGAGCTGGCTCTCCTGTGTTGAGCCATGCGTCTGTGAAGAGGCTGTTTAGTTTCTCCAATGTAGAGGTCTGGACAGTCCTTGCTGCACTGGACCGCATACACTACACCACTCTGTTTGTGTATGAGTGTTGTGTCCTTAGGGTGGACCAGCCTCTGTCTGAGAGTCCTGCTGGGTTTGAAATGTACTGGGATGTTGTGTTTGTTGAAAATCCTTCTGAATTTCTCTGATACTCCAGCAACATAAGGGATGACAATGTTCTTACGTCTGCTGTTTTCCTTTTTCTGTTTATTAGTGCGTTTTGTAGATTTCCTCGCTGACTTGACAAAAGCCCAGTTAGGATATCCACATGTTTGAAGAGCTTCTTGAATGTGTTTCTGTTCCTTTTCCTTCCCTTCTGTCTTCGTGGGGACGCGTTCGGCCCAATGCTGTAAAGTTCTGATGACAGAGAGTTTGTGTTCCAGTGCATGGTGGGAGTCAAACAGAAGATACTGGTCTGTGTGGGTTGGTTTTCTGTACACTTCAATGTTGAGGCTGTCCTCTCTTTCCATCTGAACCAAACAGTCCAAAAAAGGCAGCTTGTTGTTGTTTGCATCCTCTCTGGTGAACTTGATGTTGTTATCGACCGAGTTAATGTGTCTGGTGAATGCTTCTATTTCCTTAGCTTGGATTTTGACCCAGGTGTCATCCACATATCGGAACCAATGGCTTGGCGTTGTTCGCTCATAGGAGTTTAGGGCTCTCTGTTCCACTTCCTCCATGTAGAGATTGGCAACAATGGGTGACACTGGAGATCCCATGGCACAGCCGTGCTTCTGTCTGTAAAAACTGTCATTGAACTTGAAATAAGTGGTGGAGAGGCAGAGATCCAACAGGGTGCAGATCTGGTCCGGGGTGAAGTTGGTCCTGTTGATTAAGTCCTTGTCTTATAGAAGTTGTTTTTGACAGTTTCTACTGCTTCAGAGATGGGTATGCAAGTGAAAAGAGAAGTCACATCATACAATACAAGGTTTTCTCCTGGGGTTAGTTTCAAATCTTGAACTTTGTTAGCAAAATCAATGGAGTTCTTTATGTGATGAGGTGTGTTTCCAACAAGAGGAGCTAAAATACCAGCCAGATGTTTAGCAATATTATACGTCACTGAGTTCATGCTGCTGACGATGGGTCTGAGTGGTGTTCCTTCTTTGTGTATTTTTGGAAGTCCATAAAGACAGGGAGTGGCTTCCCCTGGGTACAATCTATAATACAACGATCGATTGATTTTTTTTTCCTTTTCAAGTTTTTGCAGGTAATCTGTGACTTTCTTTTTATAGGTGCTGGTCAAACCTCTTCTGTTACAAATAAAGTCCAGTTGTTTTTGTATTGGGGACAGCACGGTGGCGCAACTGGTAGAGCTGCTGCCTCTCAGCGAGCAGGTCCTTGGTTCAAACCCCGGTCCAGGGGCCTTTCTGGGTGGAGTTTGCATGTTCTCTCCGTGCATGCGTGGGTTTTCTCCGGGTGCTCCGGTTTCCTCCCACAGACCAAAAACATGCATGTTAGACTGATTGGTAACTCTAAATTGTCCATAGGTGTGAGTGAGAGAGTGAATGGTTGTTTGTCTCGTTTGTCTCTATGTGGCCTTGTGATGGACTTGCGACCCATCCAGGGTCTACCCTGCCCTCGCACAGTGATTGCTGGACATGGGCACCGGCGACCCCCGTGACCCAAAATGAAATAAGCGGGTAAAGATGATGGATGGATATTTTTGTATTGAATGCTTTTTGAATTCATCATGTCCTGGATGACTGAGAATCTTCACCAGTAAATTAAATTTGAACAACAGTAAATTACACAGCATAAAAGTGGTAGGAGGCATTTTGCAAATTTTCACACAGTGCAGTAATGCAAATTGTAAATAAGATGGCCCCCAAGACAGAGCCCCGGGGTACGCCCTTTTTTCCTTTAAAAAAAATTGACCTTACCCCAGCCATCTGTACACATTGTGTGCTATTTGCCCAATAATCTTTGGAACTAGTAAGATGCTTCTTTGGAGATGCCCAGTTTGAGAAGAAAATTTACCAGGATGCTGTGATCCACCGTATCAAATGCCTTGGATAAACCAATAAACAGAGCACAGCAAACCTTTTCCAGAGCCTCAAACACATCATTTAAAACTTTTAGAGCAGCAGTTGCAGTGTTGTGCTGCTTCCTAAAACCTGACAGAAAAGGATTTAAAATTATTATTTGCTTCTAAAAATTCTTTCAGTTGATCACAGACCAACTTTTCAAGCACTTTTGCTAAAATACATAATATAGAGATGGGTCTGTAATTGTTCACGATTGATGGCTCACCTCCTTTTAATAATGGAAGAACGAATGCAGATTTCTAGACTTTGGGAACTTTGTTTGTGATGAGGCTTAAATTAAAAATACAAGTAAAAGGCTCATCAATCAAATCAGCAGCTAATTTTATTTTTAAAAAATGGATAAAGCATCTTTGTATAGATCTAGTAGAGTGCTGTATGAATGGGTAAATGAGGACAGAGATTGTAGTGCAAAGCACTTTGAGTGACTTGGTATGATAGAAAGGTGCTACATAAGTGCAGTCCATTCCATTTACATTCTTACAGCGAGCACTTTTCTTGCAAACAAAAATAGTTGGCCAGTGGTTGATGTGGTAATACTTGCCAAGTATGAATGATTCATAATAGTGCACACCTCCCTGACATGCTGCTGTAAGAGACTGACTGCATGGGTTGATAAAGGCAGCTTCCCTCTAGTATGGGGAAGTAGACAGGGGCTGTAAACTGGCAAAGAGACGCATGATTTTTAGTTTTGCAGTCAGACTAAAGTGTGCACCGCGACATGAAACCACAGGAAGCTGACGAGTTCACAAGCTCAAGTTAGCCTTAACTTTATAACAGCATTAATGGTCGTGATGAGCACCTTCGCTGTAAGTTCATTTTGGTTTCCTTGGTTATTATTTACTAACCTGTGATGCTCTTTTTTATTCCATGGTTATTGGTTTTAGATTGAGCTTGTTGTTCATTTGCTTTTTCTGCCTGGCGTGTTATTATCAGCCTCTTGTATTGTGTTATTTCTGACTGGAGGTATTAGTAGTGGAGTTGTTTTAGTGCCACAAAACGCGACCTGTTAAACGACCTAAAAATACGGTTGGGTCAAACTGAAGTTTTGCTCATACAGAGCAGCATCGTCCTCTCTTTACCTTCAGATGAACACGTACATGTGATACTCTGAGCTGTGGACGTGTCAAAGCTGACAGGATGTCAAAGGGCGAAAAAGTCGTTTCAGTGCTGTTCTGAGTTTTAGCCCCAAACCTCATATCTAATTTGACATATGTGGCAACATCCTGTTTTTTCACACGGCTGTGAAATATGTCCAAATTTCTGCCACGAGAAGTACTGTTGAACAAATGTTCATCTTTCACACAATCTGGCTAAAGAAACTAAATCCCACACATCAATTTTAATAAAATATATTTTTATAGATCAGTTTTATAGACAAAAAAAAAAAGGGTTTGTCTTCATTTTGAATAAATAGATTTAAAGGAACTGCTGATCGGTGTTTCCGTCTTCTTTTCCTTGTCTCTAGGTGTCACCTGACTTTCTCTTCGGAAGTCACCATAAAAATTCTGACAGCGGCTGGCAGATGACCCAGGTAAAACCTTTCTCCTTTTGATGCACTCATGCACTCTTTTGTCGCCAGAAGGCATCTAATGTGTTTCACCTTGACTCTCACCTTGTCAAAAACGTCAAAGACAAAAGCTCCCTTTTCCAGTTTTACATATTCTCCCTGTACAGCAGAATATATTTGCTTAACAAAATGTGACATCACAGAACTTTGGTGACTTTGTTTGCCAGCTTGACTTTGTCACTGCCTCGGATAAAATCCTGCCTTACGTTACTCCTGCACAAAGATAAAAAAGAAACCTTGTGGTGACAATTCCTTGCATTATTTTTTCTGTTTGCATGCCTGGCTGAGCAGCTAATCCTACGAGTTTTGTTGTTGCGCAAAAGGCTTTCGATAAAATGCATTTGCTCCATGAAAATCAAAAAACTCAAGTATTTCAGTTTTGCAAAAGCTGCATATTCACTGTATTACTGTAGAATACATTAAAGTAATGCCAGCTTTGCTCATTAGACTCTCAGCCATCAGCATTTATGCATATGAAGGTGGTGAAACAGCAACTCATGGTGTATAGAGAAAGGCTGTTACCCAAGCAGTTCTTACTGCAACATGTTGCGTCACAGTGGGGTGTGGGTACACTTGGTTTAAAGCCTTTTTAAAGGCCTGTTCTGTGCAAAAGAAAAAAAAAAAGGTAGATTTGGCTCTCAGAGCTAATCCTCCTTTGCACGAAGAGATGCAAGCTTTAGTAAGGATCTTTAGTCTGATTGTTAAAACCAGGATACAGGGATTAGGAGCCTCATTATGGCACATGATGCATAAAAAGTTGAAGATGTTTAAGTTTCTGCATGTGTGTGCAATCTTACACAGTTTCTTGTACCAGCTCTGAACTGGAAGCGTAAAAAGCTATAGCCATGCAAAGTGTGGATATGCTGTGCATCAGTGTGTGTATGAATCTCTACACTGTACCTCCTCTGCAAACCAGCTTGTCTCCATCTGTCATTGTAAAGAGTTCAGTCTAGACACGTCTGCATTACCGTTCTTCCTCAAAAACAAATTATTTTTTAAAAAGTTCAACCTCTTTTAGGCCTAATCTGACTGAGCAGATGGTTTTGTAATGGCTGCGGCTCTGCAGAGAATACCAAACTGGATGATAAAACTGCTTGGATAAACAGCAGTGAGCTTTGTAGGAGATAAAGCAGAATTGAGTTTTAATCCAGTTTATTACAGTTTTCAACAAAAGTCTTCTCAGGGCATTTTACTGAGGAAGTAAACGAGGGCAAGAAAATACAATTAAACAGATCCATTCAAGCCATTTATAATGGAATTCTGTCCCGTTTGATTAAGTCCAATAAAAAATAGTGTTCTGAGGCATTCACAGGATGGAGACTGGAGAGGATGACAGTTTTAAAGGTATTTTAAAGACTTATTTTTGAAGAAAATCTCTTTCACTACCGTTGTTTACCCAAAAGAACTACACTCAATGGCAAGAGAAGATTTTAACTGGTACTTCCACGGTCAGCTTCAGGAAAGGTTACATAAATATACATACATCACATACATAGATGTATATGCATGAAAACCAGTCACAGAAAAAAGCCACGAGCCAAATTATCTGCTCGCTTTTATACTCCTATCAACTCAGCTGAGTTCACAGAGTTCAGGAGGTGTTTACCCAAACATATGGTTCATGGGCAGAAATAAGATAGTCTATTGGGAGACGGTTTTGGCTTTTTGGGGGCTTCTTGCTCTCAGTGCAGAGGGGAAGCATATTCTCAACCATAGACCTAAAAACCTAAAAACCATAACCATTGATAAATAATTCCCTGACAGTTATTAAAAACTAGACCCTGAAGGTTTTTAAGAGTTTCCAGCTGAATTTAACCCAAGGATGTGGACATCTGCCTTGGCTTGTCTTGATTCTACAAGAAAAGAGCCTGATAACTGAATCCTTTCTCTTCTATTCCACTTTGTAAAACTTTAGTAAACACAAGTAAAGCTGATGTTTAAGAGCGATGTAACTGTGCAACCTTTAATATACAATAGAGCTTCTCTGTGGTTTTTATATGTAAGTTAAAAACATAGAATTGCATTCTAGATTGGAGAATTATGATCCTGCTTGCTAATTCCCATGAAACTCTCCCTGCAGCATTTTAGATCAGCTAGAGGGTTTTTAGAGACTCACTACTGTCTAACTGAGAAATAAAAGTATAAAGTGGTTTTTGAGCATCCCTCTGGGGCAGGATGTCCTTGAAACCTACTTCATATGGAAGTTTGAAATTGTTTGAAAATTATGTGTGTTCTGATGGTGCTCAAGTTACAAGTAAAATATCGGGGGTTTTTTTGTTTTTTGTTTTTTTCAGTTTTAGCACAGTTCTTTTCAACTGTTATAACTGATGGTTATGGTCTAACTTGTTTTGGTTTCATCAGACTTTATGGTAAAAGTAAATGTCCTCTGCATGGCAATGAAAACTGTCCTGGTCTCTGAGTGCCACAATCCTGCATGTTTTACTTGTTTCTCTGTTCCAGCACACCCAATTCAATGGTTAAATTATTGCTTCGTGTTCTGCAGAAGCCTGTCAATCACCCATTGATTCAAATCAAGCGTGTTGGAGCAGAGTAACATCTAAAAGATATGGACACCCTGCTTATTTAAAATAAAAAAATGTTGGTCCAAACATAGAACCATGCAGAACTCCATAACTATACTGCCGTCAGCATGCCAACTGTACACTCCCTCAGAAATTGTAGCATTGTGCTGTGTGGTAAAACTGCACATTTTACAGTGGCCTTCTATTGTGGCTAGCCTGAGGCACAGCTATACTACGTACAATCATGCTGTCTAATCAGCAGCCACACCTGAGAGGTGGATGGATTATCTCAGCAAAGGAGACGTGCTCACTAACACAGATTTACACAAATTTGTGAACAAAATTTGACATAAGGCCTGTTGTGTACATGCAAAGTCTTAGATCTTGATTTGGGAGCAAAAACTAAAGTGTTGTTTTTATGTTTTTGTCCAGTGTAAGTGTGGTAAGTTGTTTATATGAACAAATTTGAGTCTATCGGATAAAAATGACAAAGACTAGTAGGGTTTTGTACAAGTTAAATGTCTAAGGTTGTAAGGAGATTGTTGGAAACCTTTAGAGAAGTTTCTGTGCTACTTACCCTGCTGGTGGTGTCAATTATCACATTAACTTCAAGTGATAGGGGCGTTATAGCATATTCACTATGAATGCCTTGCCAGCTTCTTGGTTTACAGATACTCCAGAGCAAACATATCTCCATATTGTGCTTTTAATGAAAAATCAAAAATGTGGAATAAGTTAACTAAAACATACAAAATTTTGAGAAGAGCATAACATTTATTTCTTCTTTCTACTGTTTCATATTATAAAATGTTCAAACTCCTTCATAAAGTTTTTTTTCCTACAAATTTTTTTCAAGTAACTCAGAATGATGCAAACAGTTTTCTCAGTATTTGAGCATAATTTAGAGACATTAAATACTATAAAATTGTATCATCTTTTCATGTTTCAAACACAAAATAGTTTTTTATTATTATTTGCTTTGTCTTTTCCTATTTATTCTTAAAGGGCATGCAGCATGCCGCCTCCTCTGAGACCCTGAATACGATGGTGTTCACTAAAGCCGAAGCCACGTTCCACGACTCTTCACCCCTGCGTGACAACAAGCAGCAGCTCAGTCACTCACGCTCCATGATGGAGAATGGCCAGGTATCTTCTTAAAGGCACACCCAAATGTGGACACAAACTCATTAACGGTGCAATGTGGAAGAGGAAATTTCACCAAAATCACGCAATTCCCTATATGTTTTGCAGCTGGTTCAGCAGCACAGAGATCATTCCTACAATGTGACCAACATCGTTGTTGAGCCGCCGTCTCCTGCGAGCTCACCCGACAGTGAAGACTGTACACCGGTGAGAAGGATGCTACTTTTAAAAAGACGCACAGAGACATTTTTCCACAGATCTTGCAGGGGTTTTTTTTTGTTACAAAACAAAACTAAACAGTTGTGAATATCAGTCATCACGACAGAGCAGTAGTTGGTGAAGGTTGCAGGTTCAACATCAGGCAGCAACCTGTCTGTGTGAAGTTGTCAATTGTGCGTGCAAGAGTTTTTACTGGGCACTCCAGTTTTCTTCCACAGACCATAAACATGCACATTAGGTTAACTGGTATGGATAGATATGACATTTATGAAAAACTAATTTAAAAATTACATTTTTATGAGATATGTTAACATTTGATGCCTTTTGTGGAAAAATGTTTGATATGTTTAAGCATCCGCTCTCTTTGAGCTCTCAAATGATGGATAAAAAGGCTGAGGCAAGTGATAGCTTTTTTTCATTCAACATTTATTTATGCAGGCTAGCCTCATTGAGCCACGGGAACTCATTTGCAAGAGGGACCTGTTCCAGACGGAACATATAAAATACAGACAACAATAACAGTAGACAATGGCAATAAACTACAGTAAAAATGCAGTTAAAATAAGAGTAGTGTACAAAACAATAAATCAGGGTGCTGTAAAACAAGGTGAAATACTAAAAACAAGAACATATTTGTATTGATTTTTTATTGACATTATCAAATGTTTGAAACCCCTTAAAGAAATCAAGGTGGACAACTTCAATTCCTGTTGTAAGGTTTTCCAGGTTGCAGGAGCTGAGTAGGAAAAGGCCTTTTTGCCAAGTTCAGTCTGCAATAAGTTCAGTCCACATTAATCTAACAAAGACTTAGCAGCACTTTTCCCGTCATCCCTTCTGCTAATTTTCAGGTAGTTGATCAAGTACTTTAAATTGAATGTCCAAAAAGCTGTTAAAGGTAAGAGTTGTTGTACTTTTTAACTTTCTACCATTTAAAGTAAAATAAATCAAGGTTTAGCCATCAGATGTGTCAGATTTTCTAAACAAACACAAAATCTTTGAAGTTGGCTATTTCACATTTTTCCCTCAGATTGTTCCTTTTTGCTTTCGTTTACTGTAACACTTACAGTGTAGCTTCAAAGTGAGTAATAAATGTTTCGCACCTTAAACCGGGCCATACCGCAGTGGGAGATTTCAGAGCCGTTCCTCTCCTGCTAGTTTTTTTTTTTTTGACTGATGCAATAGTCAAGTTAAACGGCTTTATTCGGGATGCTGTATATTTTTCTGAGGAAAAGCCCTAAATGATAATATTTAACCATGTCCTTACAGCGCCACATTTTTTAAGCCATTGCATTCATGTGATAGTAAATATTGGTTACTACCGAGTGTTTTTTGTTGTTCCAGGAGCTGGAAAAAGCAGGTCTCTTGAACAAGACAAAGATTGCAGAAGGAGGCAGAAAACTGAGGTGAAGCTGCAATCATGACCTACAAAGAACTTCATTTTGAATGAATTGTCACTCTTTGGCCTGAATACTAACAGGGCTTGTGTTTCTGTTGGGTTACAGGAAGAACTGGAGTCCATCCTGGGTGGTTTTAGTCGGGAACAGTCTGGTCTTCTTTAAAGATCCAAAATCCCAAACACCTTCCAGTTGGGTAAGAGTACAGACAAACTCTATGTTCAGTGATTTTACTCCAGGAGTTACATAACGTAGCATATTCTGTATCAGCCATTATAAATGGAATAAATGCATTTTATTATACAAAAGAAAATGTCTTAGTTTTCAAATGATTGGCAACTGGTTTTGGGTGATGCTTTAATATGAAAAAGTAAGTTATTTCCAGGTTGAACTTGGTTTTTTTTTTTTGGAACATAACCAAAAAATACACGTGCATTTTTTTATTTCATTAGGCTCAGTAGCCTGTATTAAATTAATTTAAACTTAAAACAAAACCCACACATCTTCACATTTCTTGCCCATCACTTTATTATTTCTGGTCTTTCAGAGAAGTGATCCCCATCAGCTCATTGCTCATAGAAATGGTGACACACGTCAGCTGTGGGTGTAGTGTTGAAAAAATACAGAACTGTGTAGTCACTGATCAAATGGAGCAAAATGGTGCTCCAAATAAACATTTTTTATTGATTACATCTACTTTTAGGTACATATGTGGGACAAGTATGTCAGTGGAGCAGCGAGAAAATAACAAATTGTGTTTTGTGTTCGTATTGATCAAACACAGAAACCAGGAAACAGTCGCCCAGAGAGTAGCGTGGATTTAAGGGGAGCGCACCTGAACTGGGCCAATGAGCTGTCCAGCAAAAAAAACGTCTTCAAGGTAAGAAACAAAAACATAAAACATTACAGTAGTCCCTCACTTATCGCGGGGGTTATGTTCCAAGCACCCCTGCGATAGGTGAAAATCCACAAAGTAGGGACGTGATATTTATTTAGTATATATATTTTAAGGCTTTTTAATCCCTTCATACTCTTGCAATGTTCTAAACTTTCTAAACGCTCTAAAAGTGCAAAGTGAAAGAGAGCAGACAGACTGATGCTATGGTTGCTGAGCCAATCAGTGCCCAGAAGTGGACTGGCCATCAGGAGCATCGGGACATTTCTCTGTGGCCTGGTCTGCTCAGTGATTGCCGAAGGGGACTAAAGGCTCGGTTTGAGTCATGCTTGATTATTTAAAATAAACAATTCATGCTGCTCATTCTGGTATCTGCCTCACTGAAGCTCCCACAGCAGCGGTGGGGAAGGACAGACCCCACCCTGTGTCCCCTCCTTTCTCTATCTCAGGCTGTCATTCACAGCAGCGCAGAGACACACAACAGGTTGTGTGCCCACCTGTTGTGTGTCTCTGCTCTCTGACAGACAGCCTCAGAAAGAGAAAGGAGGGGGCCCCTCTGCAATCACTGAGTGGGCCAGGCCACCGGGAAATGTCCCGGTCCTCCCAATGGCTAGTCTGACCCTGAGCACAATGCTCTGGTTGGTCGCCTTCCATCAGTCAGCCAGTCATTTGTCGTGTACAATCTTACGTTGAAAACCCGTGAAAAACTGAGGCCGCAGAAGTCGAACCGTGAAATATCGAGGGACTGCTGTAATGGCCTGGGGTTAGAAGGGATGCATATAACCCACTGCCTTTTATTCTAGGGTTTTAGACCAAGAGAAACATTGCTGAGAAATTGTTCAGTTATAGTTATTTCGGTAACTTCCGGTAAGATGGCGCCCATGTAGATGGCTTGCAATCCATTGCAATGGTGTTTGGATTATTTGTGTTTTGTTCGTTTCTCATCTGGGACATAAACTCGCTGCTGGTGTATGACCGACAACAGTTTCTGGATCTTCGTTTTTCGGCCGCCGATGTCGCTTATTTGGATCATTATGAGCGTAGCACTGGAACCCCCCCCCTTCCCCCGCTGCTGGCGGACGATGCCAGGGAAAACATGCTGGGCGACTGGTAAAGCTTAAAGCCCTGCGAGCTGCATCTTCGTCTCCAGCTGGTGGTCATGGTTTCCATCGTCAGCTTCCTGCGTGCCCGGACCAGGTAAACAACGGGAGTTGTCGGCTGGTGCGGTGCACGGGCCGACCCGGAGGGGCTGTTATTGAAAATCTGCGGCCACTGGCGCGTGCTCCCTCCACCACTGCTGGGTCCACTTTGGACAGTATCCGGATGTGTTTGGTCAACGCAAGATCTGTTTCCAACAAAACTTTTATCCTCACGGTCTACTTTCAAGAGCACGATTTGGACTTTCTCTGCATCACAGAGACTTTGATGTCTCTGGGTGAGTCCAGCACCTTGACAGAATTATTGCCACCGTACTGTCTGTATTTTAACGCACCACGGCCATAAGGCCGGCGCAGTTGTGCATTATTAACAATATTCAAATCCACTTTTGACAGTAAACAACTGCCCATCCCAGTTTCCCGCGCCAGCTTTGAGCTGAACATCTTTGAACTGAACATCTTTGAACTCGGCCATTCACCTTTGACTTTATGCGCACTCGTCTACCGCCCACCTCGATCTAAGGATTTCATAAATTAGTTTTTTGATTTCTTGGCTGAAATCACACCAAAATATGATCATGTTTTCATTATTGGGGACATTAATTTGCATGTGTGCTGTCAGGAGAAGCCCATGGTTAAGGACTTTTTAGATTTATTGGACTCATTTAATCTAACTCAGCAGGTAAATGGTCCCACCCAAGAGTGCGGACATACACTGGACCTTGTTTTAACTCGTGATGTGACTGATAGTAATCTTGAAATTGGTGATAATGTTTTTTCGGACCACATGTCAGTCCGGTTTGAGTTCACCCTCCCCCATCTAATTCCTAAGCAGTGCGTTCCTGCACGTAGTAGCCGGGCCATTAACCACTTCACTGCCACACGTTTCACAGATGTTTATAACTCTGAAATGATAATTCAGCCCCCAGTGTTTCTCACCACCTCTGAGGAGCTGACATCCCAGTTCAACTCTGTCTGCTTAAAGACTTGCTCCTGTTAAAACTAAAAAAATCCAAACTCAGAGCAGAACCTTGGCTGAATGACGTCACCAATGCCGTTAGGCAGCAGTGCAGGAGGGCGGAGCGCAAATGGAGGAAAGACAGGCTGCAGGTCTCTTTTCAAATACTTAAAGAGAGTTGGCGCCATTATCAGAAAGCAGTAAAAGCTGCTAAATTCAAATACTTTTCTGATATCATTACCTCAAACTCTCACAACCCACGTGTCCTCTTCTCTACCCTAAACTCTGTTCTCCACCTCACTGAACCATCACCTCTGGAAGCCTCGACTGAGCTGTGCGAGAACTTCCTACATTTCTTTCTGGAAAAAATTGCGACCACCCGGGCTCTCATTTCCCCTCCAACTCATGACCCATCCCACCTCAATCTGTAGCTCTATTTGACCATTTTGAACCCATCACTATCTTCTCTAGAACAGGTCATGTGCAGCTTGAAACCTTCTGGTTCCCCCTTTCATGTGGTCCCCACTCGACTACTAAAGGAGGTTTTTCCTACTCTACGTCCGTCCATTCTTGCTATTGTAAATAGCAGTTTATCCACTGGCATGGTGCCAAAAACCTTTAAACATGCTGCTGTACAGCCTCTCCTGAAAAAAAACAAACCTTACCCCCTCAGTCGTATCCAACTTCCGGCCTGTCTCCAGACTCCCATTTGTTTCTAAACTACTGGAGAAAATAGTTGAGTCCCAGTTGAAGTGCTTCCTGGAGGGTCACACTATCTTAGAGCTATTCCAATCTGGCTTTAAACCTCTCCATAGCACTGAAACTGCCCTACTGAAGGTTTTTAATGACATCTTCTTATCCACAGATACTGGCGATTCTGTGCTGTTTGTCCTATTGGACCTTACAGCTGCCTTTGACACCATCGACCATGAGATCCTCATTGCTAGGTTGGAGCAGTGGGTGGGCATCACAGGGTCAGCCCTCAGTTGGTTCAGATCCTACCTCACTGACAGTTCCTTTTGCGTCTCCATCAAGGATTTTAGTTCGGCAGCGGCAGAGCTTAAATGGGAGGTTCTGCAGGGGTCCATCCTGGGTCCCCTCCTATTCTTTTTTTACCTGCTGCCACTTGGTGCTATTTTCCGGAAACACAACACAACATACCCTTTCACTTCTACGCCGATGACTGACAAATTTACTTCCCCCTAAGACACAGTGGTACATGCTCTATTCAACCTCTGCTCGACTGCCTGGCTGACATCAGGGACTGAATGGCTTTAAATTTCTTAAGTTGCAATGAAAAGAAGTCTGAAATCATGTTGTTCCCTTCCAACGACACTATCACAATCCACTGCATCGACCTTTCCACTCTAACCCTGTCAGAAAAACAAAGAGTCCCTAATCTGGGCGTGATAATGGACCCTTCCCTAAAACTTAACAATCATGTAAACATGATTGTTAAATCATGTTTCTTCCAATTGAGGCAGCTGTCTAAACTGAAGCCCATATTGTCCAAAAAGAACCTGGAGACCGTAATACATGCATTCATTATATCTAGGCTTGATTACTGCAATTCACTCCTGTTTGGTATTAGTCAGACCTCCATTGCACGACTACAACTGGTCCAGAATGCAGCAGCCCGATTTTTAACCAGTACAGGCAAAAGAGAGCGAGTAATGTGCCCCCCAATCTCTCTGATCTGCTACAGCTGTATGTCCCACCACATTCCCTGAGGTCAGCGGACCATTCGCTCCTCACAGTTCCAGGAACTCATCTTAAGCGCAGAGGTGATAGGGCCTTCTCTGTAGCAGGCCCAAGACTTTGGAACGAGCTGCCTCTGCTTGTCAGACCGGCCCCCTTCCTCTCGGTTTTCAAGTCCCATTTAAAAACCCACTACTATTCAGTAGCTTTCAACACCAGATGATCTGTGTTTTGAACCTGGATGCTCCACACTGGTTAGTTGTCATATTTATTATCTGCATCATTTTTATGTCTATATTCTGATTTACCTCATTTTGTATATCGCTTTGTGTGTTGCCTGTTTTTCTGTCTGTACAGCACTTTGGTTGGCCTTGTCGCTGTTTTAAGTGCTCTATAAATAAAATGGTATGGTATGGTCCAGTCTTGAAATTTACCTTAAGCCAAAGTTATACATAATTACAATATTTTGCATGATCTGTAAGTGATTGGAGTATGTGTTGTAAAGGATTGTCTGCTACTACCAGACCAAATTTTAGCTCAATATTTGTAAAAGTCACTAAGTTGATTAGTTGTGGAGGCCATCTTGAATTCGGTTGAGTCCAAAAGTTACCTGTAATCAGTTGTGGTTCTGCAACCAGTGGTTGAAAACTAAAATCTGTCCAGTGTTTCATGACATATTTTGCTTACAAAACAGAGAACCACACACACACACACACATACGCTTGCACACACACACACACACACACACACAAACACACACTCATCAAACATTAAAGGTTATTGCCACTTTGTGGTCAGTGCTGGGCAGCAATCACACAAATAAAAATACATTTGTGGTATGAAAATATCAAAGCAATTCATGTTTTTTTTTTATCATAAACCAAATGTACGGTGAAAGTAAATTTAAGCATCTATTTAATTTGTTTTAAGGTTTTATTATTAGTTTGTTTGGTGTAGAATCTGTAACTTCTATAAGATAATGATTTTTATCAGTGAGGGAGGTGCCAGTCTCCACACCTCTCCTCAGTGAAGTCATTTAAATGTGGTTTTCTTGAGAAATCTGGGTGTGTTTTATAATCCAAAACAGTCTGTGACCTAAAAACTTATTTTCTGCCAATGTTGGGCATAAATAAAGCACTGGGGCACGTGGTCAGAGTAGGACACATTAAATGCTTAGCTGTGTATGTATGTATACATATATATAGGTTAATCATGAGTGTAGTACTCCCTACCACCTTGTGCATATTGCATTTTTCCATATTTGTGTATCCTGCTTCTTTTTTGATTATTTCATGTGTTTGTTTGTTTTTGTTCTGTACAATTAGAACATGCTACTGGATGCCTCAGATTTCCCCCTGGGATTAATAAAGTGTCTGTCTGTCTGTCCGTCCATCCAAAAATTTTTTTTTTTTTTAGCTGAGGACCGTCACTGGCAATGAGTTCCTGCTGCAGTCAGATACAGACTCTATCATCAGAGAGTGGTATAACACCATCAGGAATGTCATTGACAGGCTGGTGAGACAAACACACACACACGCACACACACACGCACACTCATAGAAACATGAACTAACAGCTCACTACTTCTCTATAAGTATTTACATTGGGTTCCCCTTTAGATTAAAGTGGTACCTTCAGTATCTAAAGCTTTAAACATGCATATTATTATCAACTGCAACTTTTCTTTTTTGTTTTTTTGTGTTTTTATGTAAAGTATTACAGGATTATTTGAAGAGCTAAACTTTAATAAGATGGGCATTTTATTATGAAGGGTGACGTCAGGCTGCTTTTATTTTGTGTACTCTTGATGTTCAGGATAAATGAACTTTAAACTAATTTTCACCCTTTATTTATGTTTAAGACATATTTAGAAATCCGTTTGGCTCGCTTTTCTTTCATTCATTTACCTTCAGTATGCCACAATCACTAAGCTACAGCCACCGTACACATTTTACAGACATGGGGGGACCACACCTATGGTGGTTATGTTTTTGACTTTGTATTGTACATACATTTCTAAAACTACTTTTTTGAAAATAAACACCTGAAAGATATTTTTATATGCAGTTTTGTTTTCTTAGACCTGTGCACACTCTAGTCCGATGGATCTTCTCTTGATCTTAGAACCTTTTAAAAACATTTTATACACATTTAACTGCGCTATTTTATTGTTTTAGGAGTGCCCTTGGTTGTGTTTAATAAACCCAGCTATAGGTGCAGATAGATGCCATTCAGAACGAAATGAGCTGAATCTTAGGCTCAAAAATGTAAAAGTTATTAAGGTAAAGAAAGAAGTGTCAATCTGCTTTACGTGTTTTGTAGGACCGTGAAAACCCATTAGACAATGTGCTTCAGTACTCTCTGAGGAGAGCTGGCAGCGTGGAGATGTTGGACCAGAGCGGTGATGAGGATGAGAGGAGAAACTCTCGTAAGTCATCATCACATCATCACAATCTCTTTCCTGCCTCACCTGCTCACATCTTCTATCTGCATTATTGTTGTTGTTGTTTTTTTTTACAAATTTGCTCTCAGGCTGCTTACATCCCTCCATCCTGTCCTCCATCATCTCCTCCACCCATCCCACTTATCTTAGCTCCGGTGGAGTACAATCCCACCGTCGGTCCTTTCTCACCTCCGCTCGGCCCTGCTGCTTTTCGTCTTTACCACCATCTCCACTCACCTTCTCTTCCTTGTCTTCTCTTTCCAACACCTCCTCCTGTCTCCCTCTGCAGTCCCTCGCTCTGCATCCAACCTGGAAAACACAGAAAGGAAGCGAGTGAAGACCCGGCTGAAGAAGCTGATCCTGAAGAGACCTCCTCTGCAGGCCCTGCAGGAGAAAGGCCTCATTAAAGGTAGGAGTCCTCATTTGTCCAAATGTAGAGGTGGTGAATCATGGCTGCAACACAGTCCTCCTGCAGGATGAACTAGTCACAAAAATTGTATTTATGTATTATTTAAACAAATTGTGCTATTTAAGTGAAATAGATTAAAGTTACAAAGGCAGGCAGGAAATGTCAGCATTTATCCTGCAGTGATGCGACACTCCCTGGAGAATAGGTGACGCAATCCTCCTCACTTGTTTAGTAAGTAAAGTTTTATTTCCACACTACCAGTAAAACATCATTTATTCATCATTTTTTTAAGCTAGAGTGGGCACTAATAGTTTTCATCATTTAGCAACGAATCTTTACTAATCATTTTACAAACTACACCTCAAGCTGTGTCAGAGGAGACTAAAATCCTGCACATGCTTTTGGCTTCGTTTTCAGATTTTGGACAGTTTACAACCGAAAGAGAGACTTTGTCAATCACGTGCCTGCTTGAAAAAATAAAATAAAAAAAGAACGCTTATTTTACCTGTTTTACAAATGCACATGAGAAAATGGTGGAACCTCCTGCAAGAGAAGTTGATCCAAAGAGATAACTGCCTCCATTGCAGTTATTCTTTAAAAACAGATGGACAAACAGAGAATGCAATAACCAACAGAGTGACAGCTTCTGCTGGAACAAGACACGCATCTTTACATTTCAAGCTTGTCTTGCTGCACTCAAGTTTTTTAATCCATCAGTTTTGTATTAAAAGTGTTTGTAAGCAGACATTTAAAGCAAGAGTCCACAGTGAGTGATGTAATAACAGTTTGGTCATCACAAGCTTGTTGTTATAATTTATTTAAGTGTGCAGTAGTCCCTCACTACTTTGCGGTTCGTTTATCGTGGGTTCGCTATATTGCTGATTTTCAAAATAAGATTGGACATGACACAATTGGCTGATAGATGGATGAGCCATGGATTGTTTATTTAAAACAATTTATTTTAAATGATTTTGCACAATGTGTGCAGCCCACAAGTGCAGGGGAAAGCTCCCTCCTGCAGCTGATCAGCTGATCTTCTCTGCCACACATTTCTCCTGCTGCAGCTTTGTGAAGGGTTAACCCTTTACTGTCCCGATGCACCGATCGACTTTTGTCTTCCAACTTAAAATTCAAAGTATGTCACATCGTAAAAATCATCATAATCACAAAATATAAAAGTGTTAGAAGTTATTTTTAATTATTTTAGAACTTCTGTGTTCAGTTGTTGAAGTATAATTGATCAAGAAGTACATTTCTGCTCCGTGCTGCGGAGCTGAAGCTGTGTGACATTCCTTTGCTGTCCTGCTGCACTTCTCTTCTCTACAATTTAAAATTAAATACTGTAACATTTTAAATAAACAATGGATTGTTCATTTAAAATGTTACAGTATTTAAATTTAAATTGTTTATTTAAGGAGGGATGAGTGAGTGTGATTGCAGCCTGGCACATGTCATGACAAAGTTTACTGAACTTGAACTTGGACTACTGTATCACTACTTCGCAGCTTTTCACTTATTGTGGGTTGGCGTGGGCCCAAACACCCACGATAAACGAGGGACTACTGTAATTTATTTTAAGTGAACAGTAGTCCCTCGTTTATCTGGAAGGCCCCACAAAAAGTGAAAAACCGCGAAGTAGGAATAGTAGTAAATGGTAAATGGACTGTACTTATATAGCACCTTTCTATCTTATCAAGACACTCAAAGCGCTTTACACTACAATCTGTGTCATTTACCCATTCATACAGCACTCTACTAGATCTCTACAAAGCTAATTGAACAAATCATTCTAA